GTCGGTGTAGCGCTGGAGGAGCTCCCCCACCGGCAGGGCCAGCCCGGCTGGGGAGGGAAGGCCGGGGAATGGCTGGCGTCCATCAGCAAACGTGCGCGAGGAGCAATACGAGCCCTCCCACAAACCCTCCTCGCTCGACCCCACCTATTGGACGGACATGCGTGTCGTGGGCGGGCCAACACTCGAGTGGGGGCGCGGATTTATCTCGGCGGCTCCTCGGGCGTCGAGGTGACAGCGACGCCGAAAAAGTTGGAGGCCGATTCAGCCGAGTCCAGGGCTGCGGTGAGTGCGGCCACGGCGCTTAGCTGCCGCCTCCTCGCTGTCTGTCGTGAGGGTGACGGTGACAGTTGACTCAGCGAGGCGCCTGATAGTCGCGTGATGGGCGAAGTGCCAGAGCGTGCTGTAGGCGGGTCAGCGGGCGGGAGTTGAGGGTTCTCCGATGCGACTCACCTGCGTCGGTCGGTGCTGCACGTGACGTCGGCCCTCCCATGCTCGTTAGGCCCACGACCTTGCGCGCGAAGTCATCCCTGAAGGCTTCGTCGGAGTAGTCCTCGCTCGTCGAGAATCTGAGGGTGACCTCGATGAGCGAGTCTCCCTCTCTGGTGTCGCGGGTAGGGCTGGTGGGAAGGGCGGAGGCTTCGGTGTGGGCGGTGGCGGCGAGGGCGGAGGTGGCGGCGGCGGCGCGGGCGGTGGCGGCGTGGGCGGTGGCGGCGTGGGTGGAGGGGGCGAGGTGGATGGCGTCGGTGGTGTCGGCGGAGGGGGTGAGGGCGGCGGGGGGGAGACATCCAGCGGGACGTGGCCTGGATCATGGGGAGGCGACGGTGGTGGGGACGGAGAGGGTGGCGGCGCGGGCGGTGGCGGCGTGGGTGGAGGTGGCGGCGGCGGCGCGGGCGGTGGCGACGTGGGCGGTGGCGGCGTGGGCGGAGGGGGCGAGGTGGATGGCGGCGGTGGTGTCGCGGCGGAGGGGGCAAGGGCGGCGGCGGGGAGAGATCATGGGGAGGCGACGGTGGTGGGGACGGAGAGGGTGGCGGCGAGGGCGAGGCCGTTCCGCCGGATGCAGCTGCGCAAGCTGCGAGATTGCGCGCATCTTGGTATCCGTCATAGGCCGTGCCGTCCTCAAAGTAGACAGGACCATCCTCGCCAAGGATGGGCCCTTTGAAAAGGATTTGCAGACAGTCAATCGAGAACGGGTCTGCTTCCGTGCCGCCTGTGAAGCAGCTACACTTCTTGGAGGTCGAATAAGTCATATATGGGTTCGGATCGTCTTGAGAGCCATTCTCGTCGTGCCAGGCTTTGCATGCGTCGATACATGCGTCCCCATCAGCGACTTCTCCGTCAATAACGCTGTCGTCACGGCGCTGCGTACTTCATCTCGCCACCCTGGACGCAGAGGCCTGTGTCGACATCTGTTTCCGGGCACGGGTTTCCGGTCCACTGGCTGGGCTTCAAAATGGGCTGTCCCGTTTCGCTAGGTGTCGCGATGGTCCTCCATGGTGAAGGAACCTTGAAACATGTGGCAATTTTCGCCTTCTCCTTCCATGTTGAAGAAGAGCATAGTCGCACGCCCCGAATGTGACAAACAAAGCGCACTGTTGCACGCACCCCACGAGGGTCGTCACGTGATCTTTTGCACTGATTCTGACTCACTGCATTCTTGGGAGTACCAGGTTGAGCACCGAGTGCCCTCGCTGTTGAACAGGTGATTCACGTCTCCGGGTGGGAGAGGCGACGGCGGCGGCAAGGACGTTCCATCCGGGGGGTCGATGGGGGAGCCCAACCTCAGCTCCCCCGGGGGACTGAAGGAGGAGGTGTCGCTCGAGGTGACGAACTGATAGTAGCCCTCACTGCTGTAGTCCTCGATCTGCGAGATGGCAACTGGCACGGAGTCGAGGGAGTAGATTTGGCTCAGCCATCTCCATGCCTCCACCGGGCAGGGAAGTTCCGGCGAGAGTCAGGAGAGAGCACGATATGCCGCCGCTAGTGCTAACTTTGATGACTGAGTTGCCGCCGACGGTCTGGACGCCGTCGGTGACAACCATTGGCGAATCTGTGCACACACACCGTTGCTGCCGCAGGGCCGCCAAATCAAAAGCACCGCGACGGCCGTTGTCGTTGCCTGTAATCCTCGCGCAAATCCACAAACAAACCGTTCGCGAATATAACAGGAGGGACCGAAACGGCGCGTTCTCCGCGCTCAAGCTTAAAGTGCTTAAGGGAGAGCAAGAGCGCGCGGGCGGCGCGGCGGGTGTGTGTGGGGGGGGGCGTCTGTCTGCCTCTCCCGTATCTCGCATCGCAGTCTCTCTGGCCAACTGTCGCAGTCTCTCTCACCTCGGGGTCGTCGCACCTCGGAGCACCGCTTTTCTTAGACTAACTTTCTTACTATCCTCGGAAATAATAGTTAGCGCAGACAGCGCGGGAAAGGGGTTAAATGCGCTTCATAGCTACAAGCTAGCAACGACTACCTTTTACGACAAGGCTAGAGTCAGCAACCACGCGGTACAGACGAAGCCACTGACTCAAGCTGACTCACGGCCGTGCCCCTGTTGATCGCATGATTACTATTCGTTTGAGTTTTGACATGGTCCGCTGTGACGCCTCAAGCGATGTGCTGGGCAAACCGATAGTTGGAAGCACAGGGAAAGCACAGGCGCCAGGTCAATGGAGCAGGTCATGCGTGCTTCATGCTTGTCACTGCTTAACTATCTCACCATGCTTTCACCATGAGCTCGCACGTCACGAGCTCGCCAATCGAGCCAGTCTCGTCGCGAGCTCATTTCGAACTCGCCACGTCCCACGATCTCGGCATGATCTCGCTGCGACCTCGCCACAAGTGTATCGCCTCGCATCCACTCGCGCCGGCCATACGAGCGGCTCGATCGAACGGACACTACAGGAGAGTCTCGATCTCAGTGCTTGCTCTACCTACCGATGTGGTGAATATTTGATTGCCGGCGCGGACTGCCTGTAAGATACCCGGCGCCACGCCTGCGAGAGGACGGAACATGGGGTTCACGCTGACCGTCTTCGCGATCGGCCTTGCGCTGCGCAGCCATCTGACAGCGCGCCATGCAGGTTTCAGCCTCACGCAGCGCGCTCCTGCAGCAGCCTTGGTCTCGACAGCCTCGGCCGCTGCCTCCGTTCCCGCTCTCGCCACCGCTGCCGCGTCCCGGACTGCCACTATCAGCCCGCAGCAGAGGTCGCTCGAGGAGCGGTTCGGCGCCTTCCCGCGCACCTGGGTGCCGATCGCGTCCACCTTTGAGCTCGAGCCCGATCGGCCGACGCCAGTAAAATTTCTCTCGCAGGATTACGTCGCGTTCCGCGACAACAGAGGCGAGTGGCGCGTGATGGACGACGCGTGCCCGCACCGCCTCGCGCCGCTGAGCGAGGGCCGCATCGACCGCGAGAGCGACCGCATCGAGTGCGCATACCACGGCTGGTCCTTCGAGCCGTCCGGGGCGTGCGCGCGCATCCCTCAGGCCAGCGAGTCGGTCGCCGCGGGCGCAGTGCCGTCGAGGCGCGCATGCGTCGCCTCGTACCCCACGCGCGAGCACAAGAGCGTCCTCTGGGTGTGGCCGTGGGAGGAGGACTGCCTCACCGTCGCCGGCGACCTCCGCGCCCAGCCCGAGGGGTTTCTGCGCGGCGTTGCGCACGACGCCTCCACGTACACTCGCGACCTACCCTACGGGTGGGACACGCTCCTCGAGAACATCGTCGACCCCGCCCACATCCCGTTCGCTCACCACGGGCTGCAGGGAAAGCGCGACGATGCCATCGCGATCAACATGACCAGCCCAATCCCCATCCACGCCGCCGACGCCGCCGACGCCGACGCTGACGGCGGCGGCGGCGGCGGCGGCGGTGGCGGCGACGCGGCTTCGGGCGTGCGCGGCTTCTGGTTCGACTTCGGCGACCGGACGATGGGCAAGCGCCGCGCCGGCGTCGGTGCGTTCCGCGCGCCGTTCGTGGTCGCGTACAACGCCGACTACGAGGCTCAGTACGACAAGAAGGGCCGGCCGAGGCCGTCGCGCCCTTTCAACCTGACTGTGGTGTGCGTGCCGACAAGCGCGGGCCGCTCGA